TTATTTAATTTTGCTCCCCCTTCAAGTTTTCTCTGAAGTTCATCTGCGGTAACTAAACATGCTTCATTGAGGTCTCTCCAACCCCTTCATGCAACTTTCTTTTTCCTGCGAGTAAAACCAGTGCCGTGTCAGAAAAACCCAATCAAATAGGGTTCTTGAAATAATGAAGTGGGAAGTTTCCTTTGCTTCAGAGTATTCAGAGTACGAAGATGATCTCTTTTTTGGCCATTTTATGAGTATCTGGGGAAAAGTTCCGCCGGGGACCTCATGGGTTCTAGGATCCACTGCTGTATTTCAAATTGAAGGGAAGCTCTACCCTGCTTTGGAGAGCTGTGATTCCCAATGTCACAAATCACACAGAGCTGGGATGACAGTCATGTCAGTAGGGGGCACCAAAGACAGCACAATTGAGTGCAAAAGCCTGCGCTCCAAGGTCCCCCTCTGCCACTGAGGTTCAGCTTCCATCCTTCCCTAAACCCACGACCCCTGCTGAGAACTACGAACTCACTGTCAGACCACCCCAAGCATTTTCATTTCCATTCACTGTCGCACAATGATAAAAAAAATCAGACAGCTGGTGCCTGGAATGGGGAAAATTCCTCAAGTAGGAAGTCCCCATCTCTCTGGAGGGGAGATGCAGGAGCTTCTGCCCTCTCTTCTCCAGCCAAGTTATTTCACCTACGTTTTTCCTTATGGCTCCAGTGTTGGGGTGTTTGCCAAAGGAGCAGCTGATGGGCTTTTGATATTCTTTGCAAGGCCTTTGTTCCTTTGTTCTGGGGTGCAGCCCCGCAGCACCCTCCCCCCCACTCCCAGCCCGGCTTAGCCAACCCTTCTTATCAGGGATCCTGCATCTTGCTCCTGCATCTCAAAGGTTTTCCTGGGTCCTGAGATGGATCTTTTGTTTTTGTGCTCAAGACTTAAGGCTGGTTTAGGTTTTTGACTCTGTTTATCTCCACAGACTTTTCCATGGCCCTCCGTCTCTGCCTGCAGCCAAACTTTGTGCCAGTTCTCTCTTTCCTCTCCCTTTCTCTACTGTCTTTTTTTTCAAGTCCCACTAAGACCCTTGTGTGTCGATTCTTACTACCTTTCTTTCGTTCTCAGTCTAAGAATTTCATTCCCCCTTGGTTTTGAGGTCACACCCTGGGGATGCTAAGGGTTTACTTCTGGCTCTCCACTCAGGAATCATTATCAGCTGGGTTGGGGGAACTATATATGATATTGGGGATGGAACCGGGGGCAACCACGTGCAAGGCGAGGGCCCAACCCACTGTACTGTTGCTCATTTTCTATGACTCTAGTGGACGTTTCTTGAGGAGCTTACTGGCCTCTGGGATGTGCAGACGCAGCGCCAACACCAAGGGGCGCTGCGGCCACACGCCTTGGGACGGCAGCGTCCTCCAGGACCCGGAACCCGCTCCACTGCACCTGCTATGTGGTTCCAGAGACCCCCGAGCCCTCGGTGGTCAGAGAGCGTCCTTCCGAGTCACAGACACTTTGTGCAATAATATGAAGTGGATGACACGTATTTGGGGACCAAAGAGAGGTCCTCTTAGTCAGGCTGGCAGTAGAGGATGTAATTTTTGTTCTGAATCAGGCAACTTAGACTTCAGAGTAAACTCTGAAGCAAGCTCGCAATCTTGTTGGATCTAGTCATCCTGGAGGGGAGAGGGGGAGGGATATTCTCCGGACTCTGACCTCTCCCCTGCTGCCTAGGCTGAGTGGGGAAACCCCTCAGGATTTATCCCTACTGTTCCCCAAGACGGGTGGGGCAGAAGAACTCTGCCAGGACCAAGGTCTTTAGGACAAATTGTTCTGAACAGTTGGGACAATTGGGAACCAAGTCAGTTCCCCTGAAGATAGCAGGGTACTCCCCAACTTTTGCGGGGGAAGCTTTGGAAGGAAGCTCCTTTCTGGGCCTTTCGCACTGAACTGTGTGAAGAGTCCAGTTGGCTAAGGACTGTCCAGAGGGGCCCCTGGGTCTCTGGAGCACTCCAAGAGAAAGAAATCAGGTAACTCTCTCAGATCCTGCAGTCTGTGAGACTCACAGTACGCTTTAGGCTGCAGGAGCCTGAAAGGTCCCCAAACTCCTTCACCTCTGTCAGTGGAAGAACAGGAGGTGGTTAGAGGTGAAGCATGGCCGTCTTGTCCATCCACCCGGGATTCTGACTGGGGTGGAGAGATTCTGTACCAGGACATCAGGACTGGAAGCTGGGCACAAACTGTGAATTGTGAGGTTTTAAGTGGATGTGATGTCTGTGGGCCCCAAGGGTGGCTCATATGAAGTGGGGAGGAGAAAGACGGTCACTTTCTCCTGATCTGCCTTTGCCACCAGGGACCCAGGGTTATTTGGGTTCTTGTCTCGTCTTGCAGAAAGGAATTTCAGGAGTAGACAGGCAGTGAAATTACGTTTTTATTTGGAAGATTTGAAGGGAAGAAGGGAGAGAGAGTGGGAGAGAGTGGAAAGTAACGTATTCAAAAGAGAACATGGGCTTCTCCAAGGGCGGAGAGAGCCCCTATACACATCCCAGTATTAGACATGAAAGCATGAAAGTACACATCTCAAGAGGGGAGATGTGGGTGACACATGTGCTCAGATACCACATGTGCTACTTGCGCCCTTGTGGCCCAAGCCACACGGGCTGGGCCACACGGGCACAAGCAGCACATGGGCTCAGGCTGCATATGCTTGCCCTTCCGCCCTTCCTTTGTTCAAGGTGGCCTTTATAGGGTTTCTTCAACCTGCCTGATGTGGAGCTTCTACCTAGGTTAAAGTCCATTGCTAAAAAAGCTGTCAAGGGGGTAGAACAGGAGGTGTCAGTGGGAGTGGTGATGGTCTTCTTTGAAATTTCTCTCCTGGTCTTTTGTTCTTGATGGAGCTTCTGTCTGAGGGGAGTCCAGCCTCCTTGCTGGCATCAGTTCTCCATGAGGTCAGGGCTGTTACTTCCCAGGAAATTTACTGCCATTGCCTTGGGGGGGGGGCTACCTTATCTGCCTGCCTGCCTACATCACATGCACCCACTACTTTTGCCCTTGTTGGACTAGACCTGAGTAACACTCCCTGTAGATGCTTGATGCTCTGCGAGGGTGGAGTCTCAGAACTCTTCCTAAGTTTTAAGGGATCTGAAAAGAATCACTACCATTTTCACCCAGGGAATGAAAAGGGCAAGAAGATGTGCACTCGTGGGTTCATGCGGCATATCCGCCCAAACACTTCTTTCTTAATTAGTCTTATTTAGTGCACACTAGGAGCAATAGCATAGAAGGTAGGGCATTTGCCTTGCATCCGGCCGTCCTGTTTCGATTCCTCTGCTCCTCTCGAAGAGCCTGGCAAGCTACCAAGAATATTTTGCCCACATGGCAAAGCCTGGCAAGCTACCAATATGCCAAAAAACAGTGGCAACAAATCTCACAATGGTGCCTGCTTGAGAATATCGATGAACAAGGGGAGGACAGTGCTACAGTGCTAGTGCACCACAAAATGAAATAATTTTAGTCCATAGCCCTTAATTTTTTTTGACCTTTAATTTTTCACTCTCGGAGGTATGAAAGATAAGGTGAAACAAACATGAGTATAATAGGAGGGATTTCCTGTATTATTTTTTTTTAACATCCATGATGTGAGTAGGATTACCACATTAAAATCAAGTGTGAAATGGAAACAAAAAAAAAAAGATGTGCACTCATTGGATTAAGTTATTTGATCTCTGGTTTAGTTGTGAGATTCCCTCTTGGAAGTTAAATAATGAGAACTTTGTATCGGAGTTGTAATGGAACATAGAGGACCCCAATGTGAGAGTCACTGAATTTGAAGAGAAGACTTAATTAATCCTAAAAGAACCCTCAAAGACAACGTCAGCACTGGGACAGTGGGGGAGATTTTGAGTCACGGGCAAATATCTTCTGATACCACCATCTTGTTGCTATACCTTGGATGCTGTTCTTTGTAGACTCACTAAGTTCTCCTACTTCTTTCATTCACAATTCATAAAGTGAAACAATTTCTAGAAAATTCCTCCTCCTTCACTTTCTGGATCAGTGGGGTATGCATTAGAGATTTTTGGAGCAGTGACAGAATTTGAAGATTATCTAATCCAATCCTTCCATTTCACGGAAGAGCCAGCAGGGCCGCTGAGATTTACTGAACTAGATTGATGAGCAGGACCTGGGTCCCTGGGCTCCTCCCTTGGCAATCTTTTCACTGCCGTGTGATTCTTAGAGCCCAAGTCTGTGTATGTAGTCACAGACCTTACTGATGTGCTTTGTCACATCCTTTCTTTCCCACTTATAATTATTTAAGTCGAGAAAGCAAATGAAAAAATATATATTAATCAGGAGACAGAATATCTAATTTACTCACCACCTTCTTGTCATTTTTGGGTCACACCTGGCAGTGCTGCGGTTGGAAACACAAGCGCCCTGTCCTCTGTACTATCTTTTTGACCCCCCCCAATATCTTAGAATCATAGATAGATGCTAATGAATGGGGTTTCATTGCTTTGTTAAGAAAAATATACTAGTTACTGGTAAAAATCATGAAGACCTAAGGGTCAAAAACCTAATGACCGAAGCAAAAGCTATCGATGCTTAGACTAAAAATGAGAATATTAAATGTGGAGTCAAAGGAAATATAGAAAATTCCAGAGAATAGAAAAAGAAAAAAAAGAATTGTATATGATTAAGAGAGATAAGGGATATAGGATTTCTTTTTTTCATAGTGAGAGGAGACCAGAAAGATTATAGCACAGAGGGGAATGATTATATGTTTCAAACTATTGTCCTGGCTGGAGAAATCAGAGGTTCTCCGAATGAGATGACCGGGTAATACATATGTCAGGCATGCATGTGGTGAAGCTAAAAATGGAAAATTTGGGGAGGTTGGAGACCATTCTTGGGGAATGAGTTTGGGAGAATGCTATCAGTTTTCTTCTCAGCAAGACCGTGATCGCCAGACCTGGCCCAGCCACCTGAGCTCTGTAATGTGGTATGGCTTCCCCTCCCAGATGTCCGGGACAGCACGCCATGACCGAGAGATGGTGATCCAGGCCAAGAAAAAGCTCACCACAGCTACTGACCCCATTGAAAAACTCCGGCTGCAGTGCCTGGCCCGGGGCTCAGCAGGCATCAAAGGACTCGGCAGGTAGGCCCTGGCCTGGGGGTGGCAGGAGCTGGGGTTGGCAAGGTGGCAGGGGGATGGTGGCAGGGGGATGGTGACAGGTGGGATGGGTTTAACCAGGTGAGGCTCAGCCTTGTGTGACCTTGAGCAACTTGCATCTTCCTGGGGCTTCTTCTTTATTTGTGAGATGCTTTTTGGAAGACTAATTGGAGGTTCCATGTGGCAATTTTGGGTGCGTAGCCTCAGATTTAGTAAGGGCCATGTGTGCTAAGAGACTTCAACTTTAAGGTGAAGGAGAAGTTCAGGCCTGAGAGACCTGGGTCAGGGTGAGAAACACACTTCCTGGAGGGTGACAAGAGGGGCCATAGTGGAAGAAGGGGGTAGATGCTGAGATGATGGAGGAAATGGGAGCTAGTTCTCAGCCTCTGTCACCTGCCTGACATATAACTGTCCTGTTCTCTGGCCATTGGATAGTGTCAGGAGTCCCAGGACTGAATGACTCCTGAGGGAAATAGAGGAAGCTGCTGGGAGAAGTTCTGTGCTTTTGTCTGTTCCACCAACCAGATCTAGGCCTTGTCATGGCACAGTTGTTGTGTACCTCTAGAGTGCAGTGGGGGTGGGGTGTTCAGGGTGAATGAGCCTTCTCTAGTCTCCTGCAAAGGCCAAGTGGTCATTTCTGTGGTTATTGTGAGAAAAATTTGGGATAAACTAAAACATTTGTATCTCCCAGTCAATAGGTTGAAAGCTTCCATTCCAAATTTGATGGATTAGAGGGTCAGGCCTTTGGAGGTGCTTAGGGATGGAACATGGAGCTTTAGTGCCCAGAAAGCTTCCACACCATCTCAGCATCCTGTGAAGATACAATGAGAAGCTGAAACCCCAGTATCTGAACCATAGAGGGCAGCTCCCCAGGGCTGAAATATGCTTGTGCCCCCCAGAGCTAGGAGAGAGAAATATTTAGTGTTTATTTTTATTTTATTGAATCACTATGAGATACAGTTACAAGCTTTCATGCTTAAGTTACATTCATACAATGATCAAACATGCATCCCTCCACAAGTGCACATTCCCCACTACCAGTGTCCCCAGAATAACCCCCTTCCCCACCCTCTCCCTGCCTCCATGGAAGACAATTTCCCCCATACTCTCTCTCTACTTTTGGGCATTATGGTTTGCAATACAGATATTGAGAGGTCATCATGTTTGGTCCATTACCTATTTCAGCACACATCTTTCATCTGGACCGATCCCTCCAATCATCATTTTCTTAGTGATCCCTTCTCTATTCCAGATGCCTTCTTCCCCCTGACCCTTGCCCAGTCTGGAATATTTACTGTTTAAACTGAATTTTTCAACTGGGTCCCCTAAAAATCCAAACACTATCTCATTTTAAGTGTGTATATTATAAACATGATGCTTAATTTGCTTTAGTTACATGATGTTTATGCTTATTGATCAAGGTCAATATTAACCTTGAACATCTGACTGAGATAGTGTTTGGCTTTTCCACAGTAAAGTTCTAGTCTTCTATGCACCCCCACATATCCTTGGAAGAAAATTTCGTGCCAAACCACTCTGAGAGATGGGAAGCTGAATTTCCATCTCTGGAGTAGAGTTTGTGCATGCTTTATTTGCACTTCTTTTGCAAGAAAAAAATTGTTTCTTCATTTGCATTAAATTTTCAATCATTTTTCCCAAACTAATCTCACTCATGGATATTTTGTTGTTGTTATAATATAACTCTACTTTTTTTTTTTTAAAAAAAATGCTCTATTGTTCCAATTTTGTCCTGTGAGTCTTTTCAGTTAGTTTCTGTGTCCTTTTAATATATAGCTGTGGATTAAAACACACACACACACATCCTGCTTGTGATTTCTGGCATAAGATACTCCAGCTCACATGGTATATTTCCTGCTTCAATTTTAAAATAATCACATTCTCCAGGTGCACAGTTCTTTTGATAAGAGAATTATATTAGAAACCAAGATAGTGGCTCTAGATGTACTTGTTTCTATTGGAGTGTTACTTCTAGATATTTTTTGTTGATAGAACAAGGAAAGGGAATATATATGTTTATGTGAACGGTATATCTATGTGTCTTTCACGATCATGATCATCCTGTTGTTTGTTGATTGCTTCGAGCAGGCAACAGTAATGTCTCCTTCTTCCTAGCTGTGAGATTTTAAAAGAGCCATATTCAATGCTCTTTCAGGGCTAGAATGAGACCTGTCATTGTCACTGGTATTTGGCATATTGAGTACAATACGGGAAGTTTGCCAGACTCTGCCGCGCGGGCAGGATACTTATAAGATGTTGCCGCGCACTTCCGGGAGCTGGGTTTTATAGTCTCTGGGTCTTGGCCGTTGATGGGAACCACCTGGCGCCGGCAGCAGCTGGTGGGTGTAATGCCTACCTATTGGAAGATAGGGGATCTGGGTGGAGAAGGTCCAGTTCTGATCCAAGCAGGCTTGGAGATCTCAGCCCCAGGACCCGCATGCCTGGGTTCCTCTGCCGGTTCCTTCATGCATCAGGCTTGTCCGGACATGTGTAGAGTGGTCTTGGCATGGCTGTGGCTGGTTCTGGAGGTCCTCGGCTGCTGGGGCTCTGTTCGGGGCTGGAGGGAAACTCAACTCACCCCCCTCCATGGGGCCCCAGTGAGGACAGCCAGGCGCGGGGGCAGTGTCTTTATCTGTAAATATTTTATATATGATTATAAGGTAATGCTACCTTATGTTTACATTTAGGTAAATATGAGTTGACACAATGTCTATAACTCTAATGGATTATTCCAGTGCCTCTTCTAGATTTCTGTAAATTTCCATTACATCATTGAGAAACCTGGTCTCTATATATCCTATTTATTGTTTAGTATAAATTTCTGTAAATACCAGAATTTTTAACACTTGTCACCAAGAGGAATATTTTTATTAGCCATAGTGTAGTGTTTGTGTTTAGCTGCTTTTGATTTTAGTCTCCACCTCCAACTCCTTCTGTCAGGGAGAATGTGTCAAATGTTTGCAGTAGACAAATAGACTCACTTCTTTCTGGGATCACTCATTTCCTAAATCATGTTTTAAAAATGTATATATATTACGGCTTGTGAACTTCATTGATCTGTGAAGTTCTAGGGACTTTGACAAATGCTAATGTCACGTGTCTAGCATTAGAGTAGCACATGAAGTAGTTTCAGTGCCCTGAAAATCCCCTAGGTTCCACCTGTTGGCTTGCTCTCTCTCTCTCTCTCTCTCTCTCTCTCTCTCTCTCTCTCTCTCTCTCTCATTCCCCTTATCTTTGTAGTATCTTTACAGTTTTGACTTTTTGAGAATGTCATATAATTAGAATTATACAGCGGACTTTTTTGTGGGGGTGGGGGAAATGGGAGAGCTCCCAAGAAGTGCTCAGGGGTAACTTGGGGCCATTCCCAGCAACTTTCAGCCAAACAGGGTTATGGTAATGTGAAGACCTTGGGGGCCACAAGGACTATATCCTGCAGTGCTCAAGGGGCTTCTGGGGCCATGGCCAAAATGCTTGGGAACCTTGTGTTGTGAGGTCAGAATTGGGGTTGAACACGTGCCATTCATGATTCATATACTATCTCCCAAGGCCTCATTTAGTACATTTTTTTAGTTTTTTTTCTTTCATGAGAGCTTGTGAAGTGGCTTTCCAATTTTGTAAAAAGGATTTTGAAAAGCATCTAAAATGCCTATAATTTTTCTTGGAAAAATGTGAGCGCCGTGTTCTTTGAGAATTTTTTTCTTATAAATTTTTCTTTGTGTGGTTTTTTTTGTGTGTGTGTACATGTATGTGTTCATGTACATGCACACATGTGTGTTTTCTTCAGAGTGTTTAAAATCATGGATGACAATAACAACCGGACCCTGGATTTCAACGAATTTATCAAAGGCCTAAATGACTATGCCGTGGTCATGGAAAGGGAGGAAGCTGAGGAGCTGTTCCGGAGGTTTGATAAAGATGGAAGCGGAACAATAGACTTTAATGAATTTCTTCTTACATTAAGAGTAAGTGGCTCCATGATTCAGTATGTGCAGGTTGGCTTGCACATGATTTAGGTGGGCAATTTTGAGGTTATTTTTTCCCAGAAATTTTTAGTGCAGAGTGGAGGAGATGGGCAGGAGTTTGGAACAGATGAAGGGAAATTTTGGAGTAATCATAAAGCATATAATTAAGAGCTCTCATTCTCAGAACATGGAGGATAATCAGACACCTCATCATTTCTGATACACAATGAAAATGATTGTATTTGTGTACTGTCAGTGTATGTGTTTTTTATATTTCTCTAGCCACCAATGTCCAGAGCTAGGAAAGATGTCATTATGCGAGCATTTAGAAAGCTAGACAAGACGGGAGATGGTATCATAACAATTGAAGACCTGCGAGAAATGTACAATGCAAAGCAACATCCGAAGTACCAAAATGGAGAATGGACTGAGGAGCAGGTGTTCAGGAAATTTCTGGAAAACTTTGATTCACCCTATGACAAAGATGGGTTGGTAAGTTCTCCTACCTGATTTGTGATTATAAAGGAGAATTAGTCCCAAGTCTTAAAAAAGTATTTATACCAGATTTAAGTAGAAGTAAAATGTTTTCTTAGTGATTATTTGGAGAGTTGGACTAAATGAAGCAGTGAAATATGTATGTGCATGTGTATATATAGTGTCAGATAATCTATAGACAGTAAATATCCATCATCTGGGGAATGTGGTATTTTGATTAAAATTTCCCATTTGTGGTTGCTGTATTTATCTTATGCTGCTGCCATCCACATTTCCATGAACTAGACGTATTTAACTTCAAAATGAGATCATAACTCAACTTTTGGAGACACAGCTCACAAGCCATTACAAAATGTTGCAGCTCTGAACACTCATCTCTGAGCATCATTTGTCATCATACTTTACTATGTGGAAGTGCTACTTTAGGGAAACTTTCAGTGAAGGAAATGCCAGACAATTGAATTCGCTCTGATTCTAATATTTAAGATAAATTATTTTTAAATGACAAGTAAATCTCCATTAATTAATAATCTTTAATTACATATTTGTAGCTAAGTGTATGGTAAGAAATTAGAACTCTCTAACTGTATGTAAGCTAAGAAAAAAAGTGTCATCTGTCTTCTACCAACCTATAAGCAGCAGCAGAATCCTGGGCAGGGTTACTCCTGAAACCTGTGTCATAAAGGATTAGGACAATGTACAAGAGGAGAGGTCATAGGAAGAGGAAACACGTTTTCCCCTTATGAAGGGACTTTCCACAAAAACTTCACAGTGAGTCCTTATTTAGTAAGAGGTGTGAGGAGGGCAAGAGGAGCACCTCCCCTTCTTCACAACATTTACCTTCTAGATACAGAAAAAGTCTCCATTTCAGCCTGAAGGGATTGCAGAATCGATTTTTAAAACAGAAAGGGGTTTTTGATGGTCTATGGCAGCTGGCTTAGGGAAAGGAATTAGAAAAACCAAAGCTGTTTTCTTCCATCATTGCAAGTCTTTGATCATTTTGGTGGTAGTGGAAAAATAGCCAACTGCCATTTCCCCAAATTAACCCAACTTGCATGGGATCCCAGGCTGCCTTTGCCTCTTTTCTGCAGGTGGTTCCTCCTTGTTACCAGGGGAAACCTCAGCAATCGCCTTTTTCTTTAACCCAAGCCAGTTGTGATTCAGCTAATTTTAAGTTCCCACCCCCATTCCATTCCTTCTGACATTTATCTAAACAAACCACATTAAACTCTCAAATACTCATAATGGCTATTGGGGTTTTTAGCGGTTGCAGTGTTTGATGATGTCACTTGAATATCATAGACTCAACTCTGTGCAGTTTCATCATTTGGGATATATCCTGGTAATACAGATTGCTGACTGCACCACAGAACTATAGCAAATACAGGGGCCAGAGCAATAGTACAGCAGATAGAGTGCTTGCCATGCATGTGGCTGACCCAAGGTTTGAAACTTGACATCAAGCAAAAACAAAACAACAAAGAGAAGTGTAGGGCTTCTTTTTTTTTCTTTTTGGGTCACACCAGCGATGCTCAGAGATTGCTCCTGGCTCTGCATTCAGGAATAACTCCTGGTGGTACTTGGGGGACCATATGGGATGCCGGTGATTGAACTTGGGTAGTCCATGTGGAAGGCAAACGCCCTACCCACTGTACTATCGCTCCAGCCCCAGGACTCTAATTTTGTAGATGGATTTGCAGTCCTGCAAATTTATACTTTTAAAAAAATTATTTTTTAAAATTTTAATTGAAGAACTGTGATTTACAAAGTTGTTGATAGTTGAGTTCTAGGCATAAAATATTTCAACACTAATCCCACTGCTAAAGTCAACTTCCCTCCACCATTGTTCCCATGTTTCTCCCCCACAAATTGATATTTTTAAGAATGTCACAGATGGTTTTTAATCACTTTCATATATAATACCTTTTCTTCTAAAGATTCAGAAATGCTTATATTTTGTTAATGCATATAATGAGCATGTGAACCTCTTTTATGGATTTGTGCAACATTTCTTAAGCACTGATTCTTAGTGCTTTGCTAAAGATTTTATATCAATATAGCTTTGAATAGGCATAATAAATTGTTTTTGAAAAGTGATATGCAATTATCTTTTGTAATTAAATCATATTTTCAATGCATTTGGAATTGTTGACATAAAGTAACTGCCTGGCAAACTTTTTTAGAAAGACACTAATTAGCCTTTAATTTACCTTTTTCTAAATCAAGTTGTTTTATACATTGAAGGTACCTATGCTCAGGTCAGTTCACCATTTATTACTAAAAAGATAGAATTCAAATCCAAATAATACAGTTTATTTTAAAATATATTTAATTTTTAAATAATTTTTATAATAACACTATGATTTAACAAGTAGTTTCAGGCATTAAATGTTCCAATACCAATCCTACCACCAGTGTTACCTTCCTTCCAATGTCCCCCAGCTTCCCGCCCACTACCCAAACTTACCTCTTTATCAGGCATACAAGGTTTACCTCAGATTGTTCGTTATAACGCAAAGACAAATGGAATTATCAAAATTTGGATCAATAAAAGTCAATTTGTGATAATTGTTATATCCCACAATGACACAATGATGTATTTGAAGTCACTGAGTATTTATTGGACTATTTGGTGCAAGTTGAGCCTTCAATTTGTGACCAAATAAAACACTTTAAGCTTAGTCAAAGAGGTTAGCATACAATTTGGTAAAAGATAGTATTCTAATGTTTTAAATTGAATCACTGCAAATTACAAAGTAACAAAGTTATTATTATTAATCACTATTATTATAGATATTAATATAGTATTATATTAATATTATATTTGTATTATATTGTAATATAATCATATTATTATTCAGGCATATAATGTTCCAATACCAGTTTCTTCACCAGTCTTCACTTCCCTCCGCCAATATTTCCAGTCTCTACCACCCACCAGCCTGCCTCTAAACTTTGTATCTCCTTACAGCATTCCATTCCCCTCCAAAGTGAACATTTCCTTCCACCAAGGTCTAATTGTACCCTTCCCTGACCTAAGCTTCCACCCCCTTTAACCTGCCAGCAATAAGCTTCCTATTGGAAATCAGTTTTCATGCTCTTTGTTTCTGTTGCCTTTGAGAATTTGTTATTCTCCTACTATGTTTCTCTACACCCTGCGTATGAGAAAGCTCATTCTGTGTCTGTCCCTCTCCCTCTGACTTAACTTCACTCAGCATGGTGCTCGCCAGCTCCAATGAGAATGTAATTTGTCAGTTTTTAGTAATCTGGGCTAATACTTCAGGTGGTTGTAAAGGGTTGCTGAGGTTGAAGTAGTAAGGGAATTTAGCATCCGAGGTCCTCTACCCAACATTCTGCTACCATACCTGAAACCATTTGGTCAAAGGTGTGAAGTCAACCAAAGAATGTGTGAAAAAATAGACTTCCTTCACTCTGATTCTATCTCCAAGCTCTGTCCCAGTTGGGTGAGACTTTATGTATTATCCTTTTACTATCTAAATTTTGCAATTTTCATGTGTATGCTATTTTATAACAACAGATATTAAATATGTTCTTAGAATTAGATTAACACTTGGGGGGATTGTTGCCTTCTCTATCTCATATGGATATTTAAAAATAAATAAATATTTTATTTATACTACTGAGTGTATGGGCTGGAGCGATAGCACAGTGGGTAGGGCGTTTGCTTTGCACACAGTTGACCCGGGTTTGATTCCTCTGTCCCTCTTGGAGAGCCCGGCAAGCTACCAGGAGTACCTTGCCCACAGGCAAAGCCTGGCAAGCTACCCATGACTTATTTGAAATGCCAAACACAGTAACAGCAAGTCTCACAATTTGTTGTGAGACATTACTGGTGTCCACGCGAACAAATCCATGAACAACGGGAGGACAGTACTACAGTGCTACTGAGTGTATATAGAAGCACTTAATTTTTTTATTCTATAATTTTCTTAATCAGTCTGGAGTTGAGAAAAAGGGACTATTTTTGTGCCTTCACTCAAATATTTTCATTTTATTCATCTACAAGTTCTATATAGAAAATACAGCTAGTTAATTAACAATAGAATTGTCAAGAGCTCTGTTATTCTATCATTTTTTCTTAATATCAGAGAAAGAATTTAAATAATAATATTATTATTGAAAGAAATTTAGGAAGAGAGAAAACTAACAGGGTAAATCAGAATTTGTGATTTTGGCCAGTTGCATATTAGGAAATAAGCAGACACTTTGCAAGAATAATTGCAGCTTTTCTTGAAGTAATAAAATATATTCCCTTGATGTAGATTTTAATGTAGTCTGATTTCCAGATGGGATTTAGTGCTAACTGGGTAAATGCAAAGGAGAGCAAAAAACAAAGAAAGGAGAATGTTAATGGTGGTCCAACTTTAGCTAAAGCTATGCATATATTATTAATTTCTACTTTCAACACACTGCTCACCTATTGGCTCAGACCAATACCTTTTTTTTAAAGTCCTTTTTTTTGAGGGATGGAGGTAAATACAAGGAGAAACTATGGATTTCTTGATTTTTCCCCCCTCTGTTTCCTTATAACTTTAGCTAGAAAAGCAAGTGGGTTAGTCATCTCTCACAATTCTCAGAAGAGAATAAGGAGAAACTTCTTGAGAAAGGAATATTTGACCTGCACAAGAAAGGGGTTTTGAATTATTCATCTATTTCACTTTTTGTGATTTTTTAACCCATTAAGATGCTGAAAATCCAGAACAGTAGGTCTCTGCAGCAGTTGTCATTTTGATGCATGTATGCTCATTTATAAGCAAGGCCATTCTTTATAAATTAATAATTGAGACCATTCAAGTTGGGGTATAAATCTTTCCCTGAATGATTTGTGGCAGCCAGGATGATTGAATTCAGATGTCCTCAACACACACCTACTAAAAAATCGTAGTGGCTATCTTTTGAAAGTGAAGCTTATATAATATCTCAGCAAATATGAACACATTAAGTGGTCTTTCCATAAATGCAGTTATAGGCTATAACAGAGAGGGAACTCATTGGTAATGGGGAGGAATGGGCTGGGGTTGCCTGTTCCACTCATCCTGTGTCTTGAATAAGTAATTAATGTCTCAAAAGTGCATGAAGTCAAGAACTATTTAATTAGAAATCTATTATATTTTTTTACCTTACTAGGACAGATCTCCATGTTTTGAAAAGTAGATCATAAGAGACGCTTCTAAGTTTGTACTCTGAGAAAGACAGTATTAAATCATACACTTTGACTTTCAGTCTTACATTTCTGTCTGCTCCTGAAGAAAGATGAGGACTTTCCATTTAGGCCAGCCTGGAAATTTTCAAGACTTTCTACCTCTCATCTCCTTACCATTATCCTCACTTTACCTTTATTTTAGATCTGGTTCTTGACCATGCTCTCTAAGAAGACCTCTCAGTTGAAATTTCCCTTTCACTTACAGATACTGGAGGTAACTTTCATGGAGATGGTGGAAAAATCAAGTTTTGTTTTTGTTTCTAACTTTTTCCACTCTAGGTGACCCCGGAGGAATTTATGAACTACTATGCTGGGGTGAGCGCATCCATTGACACCGATGTGTATTTCATCATCATGATGACAACAGCCTGGAAGCTCTAAGTATATGATGGGGAGCAAGGGAAGTGGGTACAGCCATGTGGCATCAACTGATTAAACATTAGCTCAGAACCAGGGTTGTCTTTGATTTTATGTACCCAGTGTTTCCTCCAAGTCAGCACATGATTAATTTTTTAAGACAGAAATAAAGACCCTTTTCTGAGGTTGTCCCCTTAGATTTTATAATAATAAATTATTCAAATAAGATCTATAAAGCCAAGGTAATGCATACAGGTGTTGAAAAAAATTGGATATATCTAATATAAATATTTTTATAATAAATGTTCAAATATTTTAACTATATGTTATAGCTCTGTATAGCACTGTCCTCCCATTGTTCATCGATTTGCTGGAGCGGGCACCAGTAGCATCTCCATTGTGAGACTTGTTATTGGTGTTGGCATATTGAATACGTCATGATTAGCTTGCCAGGCTCTGCCATTTGGGCGTGATACTCTTGGTAGCTTGCCAGGCCCTCTGAGAGGGATGGAGGAATCAAACCAGGATTGGCCAGGGTCGACTGCATGCAAGGCAAAGCGCCCTACCCGCTGTGCTATGCTAATAAATGTTTAAATATTTTAACTATAATCCAGTATAATATCCAGTGCTTTTTTTTCTTCTTGAGAGTTTTATTTCTAGGTGGGAGAAGTTAACCATTTTTATGCTGACTATGATTCTTTAGGTACTTCACAGTTCCAAGTTGAAGACAAGAGAAGATTATTAATCAAGCTCAATTTCTATAATTGAATCTTGAGGGTTCTCTGTCTAAGTTTTAGGGGAACTTTAAAAAATTTTTTTAAAAATTATTTATGACTTACATACAATATTCCAACATTCATCAATTTCTTTAACTATGTTTTTTTTGTTATATCCTGCAATTGAGTGCCGTCATTCTATGTCTGTCATTCTCCCAGTGACTCATTTCACTCAGCATGATTCTCCCATGTCCCTCCAGGTATAAGCAAATTTCATGACTTCCTTTTTCCTGGCAGCTGCATAGTATCTCTCTACCCCTGGCAATCACATTTTTTTTTTTGCTTTTTTGGGTCACACCCGGTGATGCACAGGGGTTATTCCTGGCTCATGCACTCAGGAATTACTCCTGGCAGTGCTCGGGGGACCGTATGGGATGCTGAGAATCGAACCTGGGTCGGCTGCATGCAAGGCAAACACCCTATCCGCTATGCTATCGCTCCAGCTCCTGGTAATCACATTTTAAATGGATTTTTTGGGTCATTTTTAGTTTGAATCTAGAGGGCAATGGCCCTAAGAAACTGAGCTGAAACCAATTAAAGTGTTTCCATGGTTAGCTAAAGGTTAGGTTGAGCTCTCACGTTTCATGGGGGACATCTTTTCCCAGGACTGTGTAAATCATCTCAATAAGCCATTGCCTGGTTACGTGTTCATCTCTCCCTTCTCTGCCATTCAATCATGTTGGAGCTCCGCAACACAAGAGACTATTATCATAGGCATGTGTCAAGATGGGTTTTAGTCTTGCCATTTTTGTGAACTCAGTCTGTTTCCTCTCAGTTCTAAGATTTTGTTCTTTTACTGTTGATATGTGAGATTATCCCCAGGAAAAGGCTTCTGAGCAAAGGTTGCTTCAGTTGCTGGAAGACAGATATAGAGACTATAACTCACCCATCTTGTGTTCAGTGTCTAGAGCAAGCATTAGTCCTCTGGTTGTGGTGCTACCTACTAATGTAAGGTTTACCTACTCTTATAATTCAGAGAGAGTTCTCCTTTTATCACTTCTGTCCCATACTGCACTCATGCCCTAGTTTGGGGACGTAGGATGGGGTAGGAGTCTTTTGAAAAATGCCTTCATGTATTTAAGTGGTTCTAGATTAAGAGGGATGACTCACATAACATATTTTGTACCATTTAAGTTGCTCTTTTTTATATTTCACAGTCTTGGCAGTTGATATCAAGATACGCATTGATTTAAAAATGGCAAAAACGAGTATTTTCAGATGAGAGTTATAGTGACAATAGAAAGAACAACTTGCTTTGTTTTTTGCTGTTTAGAGAATAACCTCTCACTCAGATCGGAAAGGAGACCTTTTTATGAAGATGAGTACACCACACCCATTTCTTGGGAAACACTTGAAAACAAACTAATTATACAGGTCTGGTTTTCCCTCAACTTATCATCTAGGCTTCAGTAAATGTTGGCAAGTTAAAGTAACCAAGTATTATAAAACACATATAAATGACTTAAAAATAGAAGAAGAAATTTATAGAAAAACCCCATGGTTTTTGCTGTCTGTACCTTAAAAGATTGTGCCTAAAGAAAGGCCAATGTTTTCTTGGGCCTGATGGATTTTGAACCTTCCACTCTTGATAGAATTTTGTGACTCATGTCTTCCCAGAATGGAAGGCCACAGAGTTATAAGTATTTTCATTCCTAATAAGTCCTCATTTGCAACAAGGATTCAGTTGCAGCTATCAGCTTTGTCTTCCCCAGTTGTACTTACTTCCTGTCTAATTGGGGCACAGGATAAGGCCACCAGATTTTAGATAACCCGAGTCTAATGATGTGTTCAGTCACATTTACTTTGCTCTTTGCTTGTATCTGGGTCCACCGGGGAGGATTCCATAAAGGTCCTCTCACCCTCTACAAATAAGATGCAATTACACTGACAGTTGAAATGTACTTTGCTCTTATTCTCAGGTTTACTTGTGACTTATAGCTTATTCAGGAATCATTTATCATACAACCTCTTTTTTTTAACACTAGAGAAAGGAACAGTGGGCCATTATAGATATTATTTTGTAATGCTCTTCTAGGTATGTTTCTGTTTATTAGTTAACACATTTGAAACATTACTATTTTAGCAATTTAGAAAGTAAGCACTGAGGTCAGGAGATAAATCACAACGAAAAGTCACCAAAACAACTCTTGTTACTACCTTGTCTGTTGGACCTAGGCCTCCAGATTGGAAATAAAACAAGCCCAGGAAAATAGGAGGAAATTAGCATCTTTCTCATGAAACACGATCGATGTATGTAACAATCATAAGAATCAGTGCTGGTCACTACAAGACACCAAAAATAGTACTGAATCTGGGGTTCTAACTCCCCTGAAGCAAACAGGGACAAATATATGGATGGGGCCTGACTCTGCCCATGCTGAGTTTCTGGGCTTGCACTCTGAATTCTGAGTTTAGAAGAAAAATACATCATGTGAAGAAAAAATTGATGAGGGGGCTGTGCATGGCCAACCCAGGTTCAATCCCTGGCATCCCATACGGTCCCCTGAATATCACAAGGAGTAGTTCCTGAACACAAAGCTAGGAGTGACTCCTGAGCATCACTGGGTGTGACCCCAAAATAAACAAAAAATTAACCAATCCATTGTCATGTGCCTTGTTCTATTCTATGTTGTGGGGGCAGAACAGTAGACCAGAATATATACAAAATGACCAAATATAGAACCACAAAGCAAATGCCCCACTGGAATTATTTAGTTTATTAATTTGATGCAGTGCTAGGGATCTAACCCAGGGCCTAACACATGCAGTATGCTCTACTGCTGAAGTACATCTATCGCCCCCAGTCCATTGACTTTTAAACAAAATTATTATTATTATTTGTCTTTTTGGGTCACAACCTGGTAATGCTCAGGGATTACTCCTGACTCTGCATTCAGGAATTATGCCTGGTGGTATTCAGGGGACCGTATGGGATGTGGGCAATTGAACCTGGGTCAGTTGTATACAAAGCAAATTCCCTACCTTCTGTACTATTGCTCCAGCTCCTTAAACAAAATTAACGGTCCACAATCATTTAAAAATACAGAGGGTGGAATAAATGGGAAGATGGTCCCTTAAATGCCTCTATTTGTTGCTTGTTCATCTTCTGAAGCCAGGACTATTGGGAACCTTCATAAGGTAGTGTCTTTGGGGAACAGTGTAGTAAATTTGGGGAATATAGGCAATCTACCATGGCAACATAAGGGATATCCCCTCTATTCCTGGAGGCAGACTTTTGTCTGGCCCTTTATTTCTCTTTGGCAGTGTGGATAGCTTCACTGAGCCATAAGAGTATTTGCAGATCGTGTTCCAACCTCCTTACACTGTTTACAGATGCAATATATTCTGCTGACGTTTAATTAAATTAATCAAGTGGGTTCTTCGATGGTGTGTGGGAACTGTTCTATTTATCTTTGGTGAAGTTCCACTAACACTGGCAGAGAAAGATATCCTTCTGGAATGATGCCTATGTCTTTAGCACATAGAATGCAAAGCCTCACAGCTTTCAATTTTTGTGATCAGTTCACAAACTGACTTTCCTGGAAATTATTGATTTTTCTTTGAAATTCAGATCAGGTTGAATGAAGCAGGAAACTCTTAAAATTTGAAATACTTATGAGTCAAGAAAGACAAAGTTTCCAGAGTTCTGAGAGATTGCCAAGTAACATTATTTTCGCATAGAAATTCTTTGGAAAGTCAATGCTTTTAAGCAACGCTTTACATATCCCGTTGCTTGCACAAAACTATGTTATCTGGGTAGAGTCCTTTTATTGTGTTTAAAACAATAGTAAGTTGGTTTGCAAAATATATGCTTTAAAATAGATGATGGGGGGGGGGGGCTGGAGCAATAGCACAGCAGGTAGGGTGTTTGCCTTACACGCGGCTGACTTAGGTTCAATTCCCAGCATCTCATATGGTTCCTCGAGCACCGCCAGGAGTAATTCCTGAGTGTACGAGCCAGGAGTAATTCCTGTGCAAAGCCAGGTGTGACCCAAGAAGCAAATAAAATAAAATAAAATAAAATAGATGACGATTGAATAGATTGAATAGATTTCTGTTGCAGGAAACCTAAGCAAATGATTACTGGGATGATTCTGAGAACAGTGCTATGTGAGAAGAATTCTTGCAGTCTCAGTTGGTGTGGTGAGAGGCTGTGGTAAACAGTGCTTCCTCTCTGAGAATAGCATGACCTTCTTGTCTTATTTTCACACCTGCTTTGCCAAAGCAGAATTTTCACTCAGCAAAATGTAGTGGAGGTGCTCTTTAGGAGTTAAACCTACTGAAAATGTGAACAACCAG